CAATAGATGCCAATTTTATTAAAAATCATGATGCAATAAATAGCTTCGTGTATCATTTTTTTTCTATACTTTTGTCAGTGTAGTTTAGGAAGAATCCTAAAATTGGTGATTGACAATCAAAGGGAAAATGCATATGTACTTTTGCAGCACAGTCCTAACTTCTCCTCTGTAGAGTTTGGACTATTTTTCCATTCTCACCTGCTATGCAGGAGAGTTCCTGCGTTTGCCATACCTTTACCTACAGATTAGGCCAGAAAATGTTTGGATTGCTGCCAAACCTGGAGGTGAGAAATAGTATTTCACCTCAGAAATAGAGGTGTAATTTTAATTTAGTTTACTTTTTGTGCTTTATTTTCCCTATTATGAGTGCATGTTAATGTATTTTGATATATTCAAGACACATTTTAATTTCTTTTTCTCTGGGTCTTTATTCCTATATCTTGGTCTATTTTCTATTGAGTTGTTGGGATTTTGTTTCTGCTCTTCTTAAATTTCTTTGTATAACAGGAATATTCACCCCTTTGATGTAAGTTAGAAAATGTTTCTTTCCCTGGTGTGACATGTGTACTTTAATTTGTCTATGATATTTTTTAGTCCACATTATGTGTGAGATTTTCATGTAATCATACTTATTAATCCTTTTCCATTCTTTTTCAAATCAGAAATATTTTCCTTACTGCTATTTTATAAAAATTTACCCATGTTTTTTCTATTATTTATATGGATTAGTTTTTTACATTTAAACTTCTAATTTACTTGGAATTGGAATGGCATGAGGCAATATATGTAGTTTTATCTTTTTCTATATGTTTATACAGTTACCCCAAAGTTGCTTTATTAGTCCACCTTCCCACCATTGATGTGAAATGCTGCCTTACTGAATCTAACTATAACATAATGGAATGGAAGTGAATATAAATGAATAGAGTATGATTAATTTGGTCTATTTCTGAATTTTCTTTCTTCTTTCATTTCACTGTTCTCTCTATCCATGCCCCCAGATCATACTGCTTTAATCATAGAAACTATGATGCTTGACTCCTGGAAGAGCTAGTCCTCCATTCTTGTTGTTTTTCTTTTTTTTTCTTTTTTAATTTTAATTAAATCTTTATTGTTCAGATTATTACATTTGTTCCTCTTTTTTCCCCCCATAACTCCCCTCCTCCCGGTTCCCACCCCACCCTCCGCCCTCACTCCCCACCCACTGTCCTCATCCATAGGTGCACGATTTTTGTCCAGTCTCTTCCCGCATCTCCCACACCCCTTTCCCCCCCAAGAATAGTCAGTCCATTCCCTTTCTATGTCCCTGATTCTATTATAATCACCAGTTCATTCTGTTCATCAGATTATTTATTTACTTGATTCTTAGATTCACTTGTTGATAGATGCATATTTGTTGTTCATAATTTGTATCTTTACCTTTTTCTTCCTCTTCCTCTTCTTAAAGGATACCTTTCAGCATTTCATATAATCCTGGTTTGGTGGTGATGAACTCCTTTAGCTTTTCCTTATCTGTGAAGCTCTTTATCTGACCTTCAGTTCTGAATGATAGCTTTGCTGGATAAAGTAATCTTAGTTGTAGGTTCTTGGTATTCATCACTTTGAATATTTCTTGCCACTCCCTTCTGGCCTGCAAAGTTTCTGTTGAGAAATCAGCTGACAGTCGTATGGGTATTCCCTTGTAGGTAACTGAGTTTCTTTCTCTTGCTGTTTTTAAGATTCTCTCTTTATCTTTTGCTCTTGGCATTTTAATTATGATGTGTCTTGGTGTGGTCCTCTTTGGATTTCTTTTGTTTGGGGTTCTCCGCACTTCTTGGACCTGTAAGTCCATTTCTTTCACCAGGTGGGGGAAGTTTTCTGTCATTATTTCTTCAAATAGGTTTCCAATATCTTGCTCTCTCTCATCTTCTGGCACCCCTATAATTCTGATGTTGGTACGCTTGAAGCTGTCCCAGAGGCTCCTTACACTATCCTCGCATTTTTGGATTCTTTTTTCATTTTGCTTTTCCGGTTGGGTGTTTTTTGCTTCCTCGCATTTCAAATCATTGACTTGATTCTTGCGCTCCTCTGGTCTGCTGTCGGGAGTCTGTATAATATTCTTTATTTCAGTCCGTGTATGCTTAATTTCTAGTTGGTTCCCCAATATAAGATCGAGGGTCTCATTAGTTTTCTTGTAGATCTCATTAAGTTTATCGGCGGCTTCTAAACAGTTCTTGAGAGACCTTAAAAGTGTGGTTCTGAACTCTATATCTTCCATTGACAATTTTGTCCTGTTTCTTTGTCTCCGCATTTTGTTATGCTTCGTTGGTGCACCCCCTAGTGGTCTTTGTTCGCAGTCTTATAGTTAAATCTTGATTGTTGTAGCTAATACCAGGGAGGGTTTGACCTCTAGGCCAATTGGCTATGAGAATCAGCTGTGTCAGCAGTGAGAGAACTTCTGTCCTCTAGGGAGGTGCTAATCTAGCCTTTGCCTGAGGCTATCCGGCAAATGCCTGTGTGCAGGGCTTGGGCAGGGCGGGTCGCACAGGATCAACAGGGTGGGCCAGAGAGAGCAGTTATGGCGGCTCTCAGTCCTGTCCCCAGGGGCTCCCCCTCTCTGAGTCCCAGCGCCCACTGCAAAGCTCAGAGAGAAAGCTGCACTCGCTCTGACCGAAGCCAGACAGTCCCGCTTCTCCCGTTTGAGTCAGGGTCCCTAGAGACTCGCCCGTATCTGGAGCTCAGAGTCTGCGACTCCCTCCTGATTGAAAACGCCAACTGCGCCCTCCGCCGCCAGCCCGCTCCGCGCGCTCCGCACCTCAGAATTTGACTTCAGCACTGCGCCTCCTCTGAGTGTCCGTATGCGTTTCTCTTTCCTCCTAGTTGTAGGACTTCCACTCAGCCAGCGTTCCTGTGGTTCTTGGTGATGTCCGTTCTGTCTTTTAGTTTCACTTTTGAAGTAGTTGTTCAAAGCAGCAAACTCCGGCGTTAACCTATGCCGCCATCTTGGTTCTCTCCTCTTGTTGTTTTTCTTAATAGTTCCAGATAACTTTCTTTTTCATCCATCCAAATGAACCTTATAATCCATTATTTGAAGTTTATAATGTGCTATTTAACTTTATAACCCACTGTTTGTCACCTGCATTAAAAAAAAGATTCTGACCAAAAAAATTAACTTTAGTTATATAAAATCATGTTAGAGAAGTGTCTATTTTTCTTCATCAAAAGACTTTATAATTCATTATTTATCACTTATTGGGAAAAAATGTTATGACCAAAAAATTAAAATTTATACTTATATAAAATCATGTTAGAGAAGTAGGTTTGAATTCCATCAAACCATGAGTTTGATGGAATTCAACTCCAGAACCATGAGTCAGGTTTGAATTCCATCAAATGTCTTTTCTTCATCTAGGTAATTTTCTTCACCTTTTAATGGGATGTGTTATAACAACTTATTTCCCATATTGAGTCATCCTAGTATTTGTGAAATAAATCATACAATCATGGTGTATTACTTTTTTATTGTCAAATAATTTATTTAGAATTTTTGTATTAGTATTTCCAAATGAGACACATGTGTAGCTTTACTTTTTGGTGAAATCTTTGGTAGTTTTTGGGATCAATATAACACTTGATTCATATGTAACTTTGAATGATTAAAAGATTTCCCTCTTTATATGATCAGGAATAGCTCACATCACATTGAGATTATCAGATCTTTAACATTTTATGTGAGTTACCCTGTGAAAGCATCTGAACCTTGTACTCTTTTCTGAAGAAAGTTTGATCTATTATTTATTCCATAGTAATTGAACTATCATCGCTCTCTTCCTGAGATCAGCATGAGTAATAGACCATTACAAATTTTCATGGAAAAAAAGAACAAAGAATAGTGGGTTGGGAATGGCCCCCACTTAGCTAAGTTGACCTTTCTCCACTCTCATCCATAAGGTCTTGTGGAAGCCTAATGCCCAGAACCTCTTGAAACAAACATGGCTGGCCTTAAGGACAACACTCTGAGGATTGTTCTGGTGGGGAAAACTGGAAGTGGGAAATGTGCAACAGCAAACACCATCTTTGGGGGAAAAGTATTTGAATATAAAATTATTTCTTCTTCCGTTACCAAGAACTGTCAGAAATCAGAGCGACAATGGAAGGGGAGGAATCTTCTTGTTGTGGACACCCTGGGGGCTCTTTGATAACGAGGAAAAACTTCAGACCACCTGTGAGGAAATCAGGAGGTGTGTCCTCTTCTCCTGCCCTGGGCCTCATGCCATCATCCTGGTACTACACATGGGCTGCTACACGGATGAGGAGCAGAAAACAGTTGCATTGATCAAGGCCATCTTTGGGGTGGCGGCCATGAAGCACATGATCATGTTGTTCACTCGCAAAGATGATTTGGATGGTAAGACACTGAGTGGTTTTTTAGACGAATCAGATGTGAACCTACAAAACATCATCAAGGAGTGTGGGTCCCGCTGCTGTGCCTTCAATAATAAGAAAAGTGCAGATGAGGCTAAGAAGGAAGCTCAAATGCAGGAGCTTGTGGATATGATAGAGAAAATGGTGCAGGAGAATGGAGGGGTTTACTTTTCCGATGACATATACAAGGACACAGATGAAAAGCTGAAACGCTAGGCAGAAGCCTTGAAGAAAATCTATGCTGAACAATTGGAGATGAAATTAACAGAGGAGCAATATGATCAGGGAAAAATATCACAGGAAGAAAAAGAGAAAAAAAAAATGTCCGAAAGATGAAGTATGAGGAACAAATTAAAGATATAAGAGAACAAGCTGAAAGGAATATATTTGCAGATATTGTACAAAGGATTAGAAATATGCTTTCAAGTCTATGGCATAGGTTTTTCAAATAGTGTATATTTTATTTTCTCTTCTTAATTTACCATGATTTGTTACTATGGTAGATTGTATTTTCAAAAGATGGCTATAACAGTTTCTTCTATCCCACCTATTCTTCTTATAATCTGAGCTTGTTTTTCCTTTTGTTGAGTTATAGGTTCTGTGTCTGCTGCCTTGCAATTCCATGGACTTTGTGACTGCTTTGGCAAATAATGGATGGCTGTGACTTCTAAAGTTAGATAGGGAGGATGCCTCCATGCTCTCTGGAGTATGTGCCCTTGGCCCTTGCCCATCATGTGATGAGGAAGCCCAAGTTGTCCATCGAATCCACATGAAAAGGACATGAAATCACTGGCTTACTCCCATGGCTGCTCTTTCATCTGCGAGCAGAAACAACTTGCCAGCCATGTAAGTGAGGCAACATAAAAGCAAATTCTCCAGCTGACAACTGAGCCATCTCAGGTGAAGCTGCAAAGAGCAAAGATGGGCCATCCTCACTGCATTTCTGCCCAGGTTTCAGGAGAAAAATAAATGATTTTTGTTGCTTTAAACCACTAGGCTTCGGGATGGTTTGTTATGCAGTAACAGCTAACCAGAAGCATCCTCCCAGCTCATTCCCCACCAATCCCCACAATGCTAACAAACTGAAGAAGTTAGAAAATTGGCATAACAATGGAATAATATATTATGGAGATTTCATAGGCTCAATTTAGGACAATTCAAATGAGAAATCGTTCATATATCAGTGTTAGCACCACTGGTGATGCACATTATTTTAGTCCATGTCCCTGAGCCCCTTGTTAGTGAAGCAGCAGGCTTCTCCAACAAGATAGTTCTGTTGTTCACATGAGGCAGGATAGTAAGGTGCTAGGTAATTTCCTGGGCAAGTGGGATGGGGAAACTGAGACAAGAAAATTACACAAGGCCAATCTGTTTGGGTGTCTTGCAGCCAGCTTGTGAATCACAAGACCTGATCTTCCCCAACCAAGGACACTTAAAAGCAAATGGATTATACTGTCCTCCCTAACCAGAGGATACATAGCTTATATCACCCTGGTCTGGGAAGTGGAGCACAAATACCCAATTAAGGCCATTTGTGTCAGCTAAACCCAAGGGTAGATGAAGCCAGGGAACAAATAACAAAACAAACAAACAAACAAACAAACAAACAAACAAAAACACAACAAAACCCCCAAAACACTAAAGACAGAAAAACTTAAGATTGTTATGGGTCAACTCGTAAGAGACAACCACCAGAGCCAAAGGGTAGAATTTAGGAGCCTTTATTAGCTGGGCAGCGACTGCAGTTACCTCACCCCGCCATAGCTAGGACTGAACTGCAGCCCCGACCAGATGTAGAAGTAAGCTTTTATTCACAAAAACCACAAAACGGTTGGCTAGACACACACAAAGTTCATCGCTCCATTTCTCAAAGAGGTCACAGACTCATACCTTTGAAAGGTCACAGGTTACAGACTCATACCCCCTGAAAGGTCACAGGCTCATACCTTTGAAAGGTCACAGGTTCATGCCTTTGGAAGGTTACAGGCTCATATCTTAGAAAGGTTAAGCTCTTCACCCCTGGCTAAATCGTGACCTGCTTGTAAAGAATGTTAAGAGGGAGCTGTGGTCTTTGCAACAGAGACTGAGACTGCTATGACCTAATTTAACTGTATCCTTCTACTTAATTTAACTGTAACCTTCTATTGTTCCTAAGCCCTGGGGCGTTTATTACATTTCCTACTGGTCTTTACGGGAATCAAATCCCTGATTCAGTGTCTTCCTCTAAGAATCTGGAGTATTGGGTGTGTACTAGACTTTGTATGAAATTGAGGAGGCATTTGGCAATGCAGGGACCAAAAAGAAGACCTAGCAACAGGAGGATTATCGGGCCCGCTAGGGACGACAGGAGGATGGTCAGGCAAGGGGACCAGGAGAAAAGGTTTTCATACCAGTTGCCCTCCGCCCGCCAGGCCTCCTCCCGATCTGCTAGTCTTTTCCGGAGCTGACTGAGACTTTCTCTAATGATCCCTAAGTGGTTGGTGTAAAAAACAGCAGGTTTCTCCTAAGGTGAGACATAATCCACCTTGCTTTAAGAACAGAAGGTCCAGCCCTCTTCTGTTCTGAAGGACCAGTGAGTTGACAGAAACACATTATCTAGAGCCCTCAGGTCTTGAGATAATTGTGCTGTCCTGGTTCCCAGATACAGAGGAATTTGCTTTCTAAAACCAGTAAGATCACAATCAATGGAATGTTCACATTAAAATCAATAAGGCATTCAATTGAATGGGATGATTTATATAATTTAGAAAATCAAAATAACTTTTCTATTGTTAAGCCAAACAGCAGGGTTAGAGTTAAATTACAGTTTCTACCTGAGATGATTGCTACCATACTTCATTCCCCACTGGTTTTATGTACATAAGTCAAATCTTGGACTCATCCTTATTAGTTAGGGAATTTTACTGCCCCCCTAACTATAAGTAGTTTGACTGAATTAATTTTTCTAAACTGCCTGCTTGGTACATTTTAGTTTTCTATATATTCACCCCACTTCTTTTAGGGGCATTCTCTATTTTGTTCTTGCTCTCCTGTCCCCTAGAACATCTAGCCCCACTTGGCCCTTTGTTAACCCACCAGGATATTCTCTCTTCCAGTGCCCCCACTTCCTACTGTGCTGGGCTGCATATCTGGCGCTTTGGCCAGACGGGTCATGCTGTGCTGTCTGTTCCTAAAACACATAGATAGGAAGGTACTGACATCAGGCCAGGCCTTGAGGTATGGTCTCATGGCCCCTTCCCAGCACGCAGGCCTTCTTTTTCAGAAGGCCCGGAGGTCTCATTCCAAATTAGGGAGACAAAGGACGGAAAAAAGTATAAATAAAGAGAGTTTCCTCCATATTGGGGGCCCAGAATTTGAAAGACACATTTTTCTCTGGGCCTCCACAGAATTTAATAATAAAATGTAACTCCTGTAGTAGGCACTGCAGTTCAGCCTCTGCTTTGGCAGGGTGCTGTAACTGTAGTCGCTGGCCAGCTCAATAAATCCTCGCTTGCTGTCTAAGACCTAATTGGAGTCAGTGGTCTTATTCTCGCGAATGTTGGTCCACAACACTACAATAGGCATACTAATACCTTCCTAGTTTGCTGCCGGCCTTTTCTTTCCTTAAGCCCTGTTTCTCCTCTAGGGTGTCCCTACTGTTAACGACTTCCTGGGCTACCTCTACCAGCTGTGACAGATGCATTACTTTAAATCCTTCTAATTTTTTGGAGTTTTTTTTAGCTGCTGCCTTTCAAGCCCTTGCGCCCCCCCCCCCCCAAACCCCCAACAGAACATGGTGAAAAGTGTCCAAGGAGGCCTTGGGTCTCATTGGGGTACAGGGAGGCACAAGGAGGGACAGGGAAATTTCCCTCCTTGCGCCTACTCAAAATAACCCCTCAGGGGATGAGAGCAATTACAACCCCGGTGAGCAGAGGGCGCAGAAGATGGGAGCCAGATAGGTGGAGGCAGGGAGCTGGGCAGCGCAGGTCATGAGTGGAGGTGTTCCCACCACGGGGGTAGCCTGGGGGGAAAGCGTTTTCATCTGGAAGTCCTTTTCTCTCTGTTCCCCCTGGAAAAAGCGCATGCCTTCAGCCAGCAACGGTGGCATGGTGGGGTCCAGTGGCCCTTATACTGGCCAGGGAAAACACGCCCTGCATATTACAAAGTGCTCCTGTGGCAGTGGGTTGGGTATCAGGCCCCTGCCATTGTACCCGTCCTCTGTGGCAGAGCATCGATCAGGCCTCTCCCAAGAGAGTGCACTAGAAGGGATATCAGCCCCTCCTCTGCTAGCAACAACAGGTACCGAACCCTTTCAATACATTTGACCAGCTTCATTCCTGCCCACCTTTACAGATTCCAGGGCCCATTGTCTTTCTTTAAGCAGCAAGCCAAATGACACTGGCCTGTATTATTTCCTATTGTGAGTTAGAGGAAGACAATCCCTGTGGAGGAAAATGACTCTTAGTCAACCTGTGAAAGAAGGCAGAGGATGACAAGGGTGCAGGGAAATTTTACTAAAAGCCTGGAGGGTCTCCTGAAAGAAAAGATCTTTAATTCAGCACAGGCAGGGCGGGGCCCATAAAATCTCTGCCCTGAGGAGCTGTGAGCCCACCCCCTGAATGTCCCAATCAGACTAGAAAAGCCACCAATACCTTTAAATCTACCCCAGAATTCCAAAATTTCAACCCAACACAGTAAAATCACAGAGTTAATCAAAGTTCCTAGTAAACAAACAGACAGAAATTTTTACTAGTTAGGTTGGCCGATTCCACCTCTGACAGAGAGCAAGCACCCTTGGGAAAGAACCCAGCAGCCGTTTGGGGCGTTTTGCTATTGGTCAGAGCACTCAGCCCTAAATTAAATGTGTGTGTTTTTTTTCTGTTTTTTTTTTTTCCTTGCAGACTTCCATACTTATATGAACAAATAATTATACCCAGGTAGACATACAAACACCAAATAAACATCTGCACTTACACCCTTTCAGTGAACAAGTACTCTTACAGCCTTGGGATCTGAGCAGATAACAGAAACACCACCCAAGTCCCCTGATGGGGGCCTGACAGGAACAGATGTGGGGGCCTCCCTTTCCCACATCCCAGGACAGGATTCTTGACCCATGTCTCGTCCAGACAGAAACAGTGCTCATACTGAACAAAGAAAACAAGACTAAACAGACACAACAACTAGATACATTCCCCATTAAAAACTTTGAATCACCACGAAAACTCAGGGCAGATACTACAAATTCCTTCATTATCATGTTGATTGATCCTGCACCCACCTAAGTAAGTGTCCATCATTTTACTTTTTACCCTATCGCAGAGGTTTCCCCGCTTCGCTTAATCCCACCTCCTTAAATCTGTCACCAATGAATTTCATGTGTAAATACGGATGTAATCCTGCCATTCTCCGGAGCACTATCTCAATTCATTGAGGTTCTGCTTCCCGGCATATGTCAACTCACAAAAATTCTTTACAGGTTTCAATGGTTTTTTACGTTAACAAGATCCATGATAATCTAGATCAGTAATCCATTCACACAATCCCTGACCCATTTTGACAAAGACAAAGACAACAAAGAACAAAGACAAAACAAACCAGACAAATGCAACCTAAGGTTGCCCAGACCAGAACCCACAGATGCCGTCGCATCCCGGTGGTCGGACTCTGAGGTTCCGCTGTGTCCAGCCCTCTTTTGAATCCTAAAGGGAATGTTCCACAACCAGAAACCAGAAACCAGAAACCAGATAAACCAGATTCTTACCTCCCCACTGGAGGTCCAGGTGGCTCCCTCTTTCGGATTGCAATTTAGAGGAAAACACTCTGCCTCCCTGGAACCCGGGACGGAGACTAGAGGTTCCTTTACTGGGGAATCCACTGGCAACAAGGCCAGATTTTTATCTCACTGGAGCCTCCAAATGTTATGGTTCATGCCTTTGGAAAGTTACAGGCTCATACTTTAGAAAGGTTAGGCTCTTCACCCCTGGCTAAATCGTGACCTGCTTGTAAAGAATGTTAAGAGGGAGCTGTAGTCTTTGCAACAGAGCCTGAGACTGCTATGACCTAATTTAACTGTAACCTTCTACCTAATTTAACTGTAACCTTCTATTGTTCCTAAGCCTTGGGGCATTTATTACAAGATTAAAGTAAAACAGAACAAAGAATAATTCCACACTCACCCATACGCTTATTTTGATGAAAAAACAACAAGGGATAGAAAACCCTCAGGACAAAAACCCATTACTTTAGAGCAGGCCCATGCCCCTTCCCAGGCATTAACTTTTTATTTATTCCTAAACTCTAAGAGTGCCCATGAGAGACGTGCAGCCAGAAGAGCAGTGGGCAGTGACAGCTGGACCTGGGCTCAGCCCTAACACATGGACATCTAACACATGGACATCTGTAAGTTATAAAATTTTCTTATTGTTTCTCTCTCTTTTCTTTTTAAGGTACCTAATTTAAAATGTCTATTAAAGCGTTAACTTAAAAGTCTCTTCTCTGCCAAATATTTTTCCTTTGCCTTTGCAGATCTATCCTTTGCCCTTCTTCACCCTAGTTCTTTGCCCCAGGAGGCTGATCTATGTGGATCACATTGTTAATCAACACAAAGGTTCTCCACTTAGGGTGTTGTATTCAAGAAGGAGACATGGTTGTGCCAAGGCAGTTTTATTTACTTGTAGCAAATTAAGGAAACATGGGATTCATATAAAAAGATCTAACGCCTCAAAGGGAGTCTTGGCCATAGCTTACACTATTTGGTCAATTGTGTGTTGGTTTATTCTTTGCAGTTGGCTACAGTTATACTGCTGATTTCTTGTCAAGGTCATCCTGTTTATAGCTGGACTGGTATATTTGAACATTTAGCAAGAACAGCATCTTTCTCTATAAAAAGCCAGTGAATAGAAGCCGTAATGATCAGAATGACCAGATGCTATGACGCCCACTGTGGCCAGTGAACCAGCCTGATCTGGGGGTGGGGCTGGATGGCTAAGCTCCTGCAGCCCCTCCCCATAGTCGGTCCCACCCCTCATGGGCCCTCATCACCCCAATCGGCACACAGCCCCTCCCCAGGCCAGCCCTGCCCCTGATTGCCCCCCCCCCAACCCATTAGGGGGCATGGCCAGCCAGCCAAACTTCTGTAGCCCCTCCCCTTGCCCAGATCCACCCCAGATTGGTCCCCCCACCCTGATCAGAGGCAGGGCTGGCCAGCCAACCACCCAAGGCCCCTCTTCATGGCCGGCCATGACCCCAATCACCCCCCTCCTCCCAATCAGGCTTGGGGCCCTCCTGCGAACAGTCCATGGCCCCTCCTCCCAACTGACCCAGCCCCAATCCGGCAATTGGGGCTGGGCTGGCTGTACCCCACTTGTATACGAATTAGTGCACTGGGCCTCTAGTTTAGTAAGAATGGCCCAGATCTTAAGACTCTTCTCCTCTCTAACAACATAAGTGGGATCTCTGGCTCTCTGAGTTCAGTTTGGCTTCTGCCAATGGGAAGTCCAAGCAGGAGATCTCTTCAGGGTAGAAAAGCAAGACGGGGGTATTTATTGTCCGGCCTCTCTCCTACCAAGGCCATCTCTGACTAGCTACAACCCTAAGCCAAAAATCGTACCTTCTCTACTCAATTCTTTTTCTGGGTTCCTGTTCTCTTAACCCCTTTTGGTTAGGGTGCAATTTACTCACTGTTGCCAGCAGTCTTCCCTGTCATTTGCATACCCTGTGTGCACAGCTTGTAGGAAACCCTTGCACTTGACTCTCCCCCAACTACCTAATTAAAGTGGGCCATCTCTGCTGCTAGAATCCTGACTGATAATTCTTCACAATACCCTCCATCTTTTCTCTTTCAGATATACACTGACCATTATTAATGTTTCTTTTGAAAATCCCCTCTAGTGTTTCCTGACATCAGAATCTCTCCTGACAGCTGAAATCATTGTCACTTCCCAAGCAGAATGTTTCATGTTCATACCTGATGAGTCCACTAATGTATCATCTTTTCAAAATCACATGAGAATACCAATAAACTCCCTGAGTGATCAGACTCCCAGCTCAGGAGACTTGCAAAGTCAGTGGTTTGAGTCATGGTGTTCTGGGTGGAAAAAGTTATCCCTGATTCTTGGAATTGGTGTCTTAACCTGTGTTTTCACTTGTGATTGTATTCTTGCTATGGCATATGGGAGAGCAGCCACCAAAAGAGCCATTTCCATGCTTTTGAAGCCCCTTGCTGACATCTCAGGGAACATTGCAGAAGAAGGGGGTGGCCTATGAAACTGTGAAAGCCGGTCACCATACATGACTGTTGGTGACAGATGGACAAGAGTCTCAAGTCTGGGCAGTTCTTACTAAATGCTAAAATGTGGCACAGTATTTTGCAGAGGAGTTTCAATGGGATGAGCTTGACCTGAATGACTACTAATGAGTTTAGCCAGCTACAAAGAAGAAATCAACATATAATTAATCAAACCATGTATGAAAGCAATGGCTAAGCCTCCCTTAGGAGAAGCAGAGCTCTGAAAAATATTCACCTGTCTCCTTTACTTGTTACAACTGAAAATAAAACTTTTTCTCCACCAAGACTGTGTTCCTTTGAACCCACTGTGTTCTGTTACACTGGGGAAGGTCATGGAGAAGATGTGACTTCTGGTTGACCTGAAGACTGGACCCAATAGGCCTTCAGCTTGCCTTTTCCCTTCCAGGAGCTGCCTCAAAGACACAGCTTTGAGATCGTAATGGGTTGTTGAGACCATCTGGATGGTGTACCTGACTCAGCCCATTACATAAATTTTTCAAATCTGGCAGGCAAGTGCAGAGAATATTTGTCTTTGAGCCACCCAAGACAAACTTTGTAAGTAAATTTCCTGGCTTATTAAACTGCCACCTAACCATCTGCCATGGCCTGCTTCTGTCTTGAGTCTCTCCCTGCCCTCTGTATGGGGGCCAGTTTCAGATTATTCCTCAGAGTTTTGGAACCAACATGTGCTTTTAAAACAGTATTCTCATCTATGTTTTTAAGCAAATATAAAAAATGGAGTATCTAAGGCAATGGTTCTCAACCTTCTGGCCCTTTAAATACAGTTCCTCATGTTGTGACCCAGCCATAAAATTATTTTTGTTGCTACTTCATAACTGTAATGTTGCTACTGTTATGAATCGTAATGTAAATATCTGATATGCAGGATGGTCTTAGGCAACCCCTGTGAAAGGGTCGTTCGACCACCAAAGGGGTCATGATCCACAGGTTGAGAACCGCTGATCTAAGTGATCGGGCCTAAACCAGCAGTAGGACATCCCTCTTGCAATCTGGGACTGCTTGTCTCCTAATTGTGCACTTGCCTGCCTGCCTAATCACCCCTAACTGCCTCTGCCAGCCTGATCTCACCCCCACTGCCCTCCCCTACTGGCCTGGTCGACCCAACTGTTCTCCACTGCCAACCTGATCTTGCCCCCAACGGCCTTCCTCTGCTGGCCTGATCTCACCCCTAACTGCTCTCCCCTGCCGGCCTGATCACCCCTAACAGCCCTCCTTTGCCAGCCTGATCGCCCCTAACTGCCTCTGCCTCAGCCCCCACCACTATGGCTATGTCTGGAAGGAAGTTGGACGTCTAGAAGATGGCTGTTCAACCCAGTCTAATTATCATATTATCCTTTTATTAGTATAGATAGATTATATAGGATAGGATTGCTTAAATGGGGGGTGGGGAGCCTTTTTTAGCAGGAGGAGATGCTCTTGGCAGACAAAAATACATAATCCCCATATCTACTGATAGCTTGCCATATGCATTATACTGCCAAACCAGTCATTAAATAATTGAACCACTTTTCTACACCTTACCCCAAAGAGCGGTTGCCTTAAAACCCCTCCTCAGGACCCACCATAGGTTCTGCCTTAGCAGTTCTCCCAGATTAGGTTTTGATTGGTCAGTTTCTATGCCAGTCAGCATCAAAAGCTCTGCCTCCTAGGCATCCATTGGTACCTCTCAGTTGACCCAGATTTGCTTCTGATGATCAGTTTCTATGCCAGTCAGTGTGAAAAGCTCTGCCTGCTATGCAGCCATTGGCTCCTCGCAGTTCACCCATATTTGGTTCTGATTGGTTGGTTTCCATGCCAGTCAGCATCTCCGGGCCTATCTCCAGGCCTGATAAAAGAGGAGAGGCTGATCAACAGCCACCCCAGGCTGCTGGCAAGCAGGCTGAACTGCTGACCTCTTGGAGAGAGAGAGGCTCAACTGCTGGCAAGGCCGAGAGAGAGAGAGAGAGAGAGAGAGAGAGAGAGGCAAGCAAGGGCTGATTAACAGCTGCCACGGAGGCTGCAGATCAGACCCTGCTTCTCTCTTCAGGCCTCGCCAGCAGCTGAGTCTCTCTCTCTCTGAGAGGTCAGCAGTTCATCCCGCTCTTCAGTCCCCACCCAATGGTGCCTGCTGCACGTGTAGCCTGGTGTTCGGTCATCCCTTAGGTTGTTTTAGACGTTAAGGACCCTGGCTCTTTATATATATAGATAATTGACATGTAACATTGTGTTGAATATATATTTGCAAAAAGTCTCACTGTCATCGTGTTTGCTAACACTTGCACCACGTCCCATAATACCTATTCTTTCTGTCCTGAGAATGTTATAGACACCTCTCACTGACACCAGAGAGGTGTTATTGGGCAGCCCCCTGAGTCAGTGGGAGAGGGCTGTTCCCCACCTCGATCATTGTCTTCTCATATAAATGAATTTATATGAGAAATCTTGACAGCATTGTTAAAAGTCAATTTATTAAAGCAATTAAAGCATGCACCTTTGTTAAAGAAGCAAAGCAAGCAAACCTATACATCTGGCTTATGAAGCCCAGAAGGGCTCTCAGCTAATCTGAAGAGCAAGTTGTATGTGTGTATGTGTGTATGTGTGTATGTGTGTATGTGTGTATGTGTGTATGTGTGTGTGTGTGTGTGTGGGGGGGGGATCTGAGGTTTTTAATATACCCTCCTGTGTATAGGTCTCAAAATTCCTCTGCTGAATATTTTGGTACAGATTAATTGTCAAGATCCTTTTTAAAAATATTTTTTTTTTGGTGGCCTTCCCAAAATTCATGAGAAGTACCTGGCAATTTTATCTTGCGAAGCCTTGAGACTGCTGGCTTCTTTGCTTAGGGAGTAGAATGGCCCTTTTCCCTTTTTCTTTTTCCCAGTCCGTTTCTGCATTCTCTCATTAGGGAAGTTTTTAAACCATTTGCTCTGTGTCCTTGGCTGGGGAAATAATGGTTTGTTAGTTACAAGCTGCATGTAAATTGCCCATACTGTTTGGCCTTGTTTTAACTTTCCTGTCTCAGTTTCCCTATTCCTCCTGCCCTGGAATCCTGTAACATATTTCCCCCATCAGAGACTTCCATATGTAGAATCTTTTAGGGTTGTTGAAGGAGGAAAGTCGTCTTCCTTAACTAGTTCATACTGTTAAGGGGTGTTGTCCCTGCCTGCATTAGGGTATGGAAGCCTCTTCCTGTCTGATTTAAAGGAGACACAAGAATGGCATTTGAGACTGAAACGGAGAGGCTGTTTGTTGATTTTTATAAAGTAGGGATGGGCCTGGAATTCTTGAAGCATTATTATCTTGACATGAAGTTATTGTTTCCTAGAAGCTACAAATTTGACAAGAAGGTTAGTGGACAATTATATTAGTGCCCAGCCATTGTATTACTTATCTGTAATAGGTTTTTGTTTCATGAAGAGGAACTTGCGGCCCCAGCTGATTTGGCTTAGTGGATAGAGCGTCAGGTTGTTGATCAAAGAATCCTGGGTTTGATTCCGGTCAAGGGCTCATACCTTGGTTGCAGGCTCCTCCCTGGCCTGGCCCTGGTTGGGGCATGTGCAGGAGGCAACCAATCAATGTGTTTCTCTCAAATTGATGTTTCTTTCTGTCTTTCCCTATCTCTTCCACTCTCCATAAAAATCAATAGAAAAATATCTTCCATTGAGGATTAACAAAAAAAAAAAAATTAGCTTGAAGTCCTTGATGGGTTCACAAGAGTAGGTCCCAGGTTGAGGTTCCTGTGGGAACCATTAAGAAACAAATTTAATTTTAGAGAAGTAATCCTGTAACTCTTTCTTTAGGTTTAGTTTTTACTTTCATGAGACCTATGGGTTACATAAACACCTAGGACTCTGAGGTTTTTGGCATAGCTTGACTAGAGTCCTTTTCCCCTAACTATATGGGTCTAGGGGTTCTTTACCTTTTGTCCTTAGTTGTTTTATTTGATACACCTAATTAGGGTTCTGATTTAGGATTGTATCTCCTCCTGGTCTGTATATGTGATGTTCACTATGATGGCCAATTATTTTATTAGCATAAACCCTTATAACTTCTATTATATGGTGCTTTTCATCTATAGTGTAGCAGTGGAGGAGAACAATTTGTAAATTTCTCTGTTAAGTTATAAGTCAATGTCAAGTGACTAAAACCATGTGTGAATTTGCTAAAGTCTTCAGAAAACCAACCAAATGTTTCTTTGTAAAGGGCCATTGGTAGAGTGGCCTGTGTAGTAGGTGTCCTTTTGGGCCCAGTGGCTTAGCTCTGCAGTCACATGATCTGGGCACTCTAGGTGCACCCCTGTGTGGGCTATGTGCACAGTGTTGTAGCTGAGCCTTGATTGCTGTTGCTGTCACTGGGAGGAATTGACCTCCAGGCCAATTGGCTCTGAGGACCAGCTGTGTCTACAGTGGGAGAGTTGCTGTGCAGGAGACACCCCATGGAGCAGGACTTGCTTCAATGGGGCTTTGGTGCTCACTGAGTCTGCCCCTTGAGTGTGCCTTTCCCTTAATACTATTACTTTCTGAGGTGGTCAGGGCTTCTTGGAGGATTAGATTAATATCCCTCCAAGATAAGTCATAAGGTGAGCTTCCTCCATTATTGGATGAGTTTTTCAGGGTCACCTTTAAAACTCCCCAAACTGTCCTTTATGCCTATTAAGTCTTACATGTTGAATGGAACCTGAATTCTTACTATTCCCCTCTCTCCTGGGGCTTCTCTCAAAGGAAATTTTCCTTGTAAATTTCCTGCTTTATCTTCCCCCCAACTGGTTGATTCAGTATAGGGCGGTGCTAGTTCTGAAGCAGCTGGTTGTTGAGGCACTATGGGTGGAACCAGGCATTCACTCTCAAGATTCAATTCCTTCTTTACAATGACTGCTAAGAGTGCAGGATCTATCTAATAGCTCTGGTATAATTTGGAGTTATTTCTCAAGGCCATAAAGACTGGGACATAAGGTATTTCAGTCCACCTGCCCTGCCTTCGACACAATGAATCTAATTTCAAGATTGTATTATAATTTAGGCTCCCATTTCCAGGCCAAACTTCCCTATCTCCTACTTTATATTGGGGCCAAGCTGTACCACAAAAGAAAACCAATCTTTCCCTCTTTAGGATCTGAGGGTCAAAGTTGTCCCAGTTCTTTAAAGTGCCTCCCAATGGGGTCCCATCTCAAAGAGAATAGAGGAGACTGTGTAACCCCCTGGGTTTCCAGGTTTAACTAGTGCTTACTGTGTAGGTCCTGAGCTTCCAGGCTTACCTGGTGCTTACTGTGCAGTCCCCTTGTGTCTCTATTCTCAATCGATTTAAAACCTCTTCTGCTTCAAAATTCCTCTGCTGAATATTTTAGTACAGATTAACTCTCAAGGTTCCCTTTAAAAATATTTTTTTTGTGGCCTTCCCAAAATTCATGAGAAGTACCTGGCAACTTTATCTTGCCAAGCTCTGAGACTGCTGACTTACAAGTAGAATGGCCCTTTCCCCCTTTCCTTTCTGCATTCTCTCCTTAGGGAGGGTTTTTAAGCATTTGCTCTGTGTCCTT